GTAGGGAAATCTTTCCCAACTGGCCAGTGGAGTTTGGTTGCATTCACTGAAAACTCTACTAGCTGGGTTATTGGCCAGTGTAATTATGGAACCTACAGGTGCACAAGTTCTTCTGGATCGCTGGGGATAAACTCCCTGTCTGCAGAGCACGTGTGGATATGGTGGACACAGACTGGCTACACACACAGAGAGTTATAAAGCCACTTCCAGGTTTCCACATTTCCCAGGGCAGCCCAGTGTTGGAATCCTACCCAAAGGTGTCCCTGTGTGGGTGGAGAGGCTCAGGATAATCCATCAGGATCTGGAATCTTCCCTACGATGGTCCCTGCAATGGTGTCTTCCCTGACATCCTTCCTCTCTTAACCCATTTTATACTGGTTTTTACCTTTCAGGTGGAGCTTGAGGGACTTGAGTCATTCACACCTTTGTTTTGGTTGGTGCTCATTCACCTGAGCTGGGCCGGGGCAAGCCCAGGCACAGATCCAGGCTGGGCAGAGTGGGTGGAGGGCAGCCCTGAGGAGGACTTGGGGGTGTTGGGTGATGAGAAGCTCAACATGACCCAGCACCATGTGCTGGAGCCCAGAAACCACCTGTGTCCTGGGCTGCATCCCCAGCAGTGTGACCAGCAGGGCCAGGGAGGGAATTGTCCCCTCTGCTCTGCTCTGGGGAGACCCCCCTGCAGGGCTGGGTCCAGCTGTTGGGTCCCCAACACAGGAAGGACATGGGAGCTGTTGGAGCAAGTCCAGAGGAGGCCATGGAGATGATCCAAGGCCTGAATCAGCTCTGCTCTGGAGCCAGGCTGGGAGTGTTTGGACTGTTCAGCCTGGAGAAGAGAAGGCTCCAGGGAGACCTTAGAGCACCTTCCAGTGCCTGAAGGGGCTCCAGGAAAGCTGGGGAGGGGCTTGGGACAAGGGTGGGGAGGGATGGGATGAGGGGTGATGGATTAAAACTGGAAGCAGGGAGATTTAGGATAGACATCAGGAGGAAATTCTTCACTGTGAGGATGATGAGACCCTGGCTCAGGTTGCCCAGAGCTGTCCTTGGAAGAGTCGCAGGGCAGGAGATCTGCTTGGAGGTGTGGGATGGAGTCATCTGGGGATGAGAAAAGATGCTCTCAGCTCCTGAGAGCCCCCACACTGGGTTAGAAGGTCTATGGCCTGGATTCCCAAGGGAGGAGAAGGGACTTGAGCTCCTGCCCTTCTGGGATTCTTGATGCCTACAGGCTTCAGACTGAGCTGAGCTCTGCTGAGATTTCAGAATGTCTAAGTGACACATGGGTCTAAGCAGACAACTTGCCAAGTGACTTTCGCACTGAACCTCCGATTGAATAAAGACTTATCCCTGTGAAAACTGAAAGACTTGGTAAAATAGGTCCAGTTTCCATCAAGAGAGCAGGCACTGTGGCAGTCATGGCAGGGCCTGAAGCCAGACTTAAGGACCCATTAGTTTTTCTTCATCTTTCCACATTGGACAGACTCAAGAAGACTCAGCAGTTTTTCTCCTAAAATCACAGCCTGAAGGGATGGGAATGAATCCCCATGGGTTGATTTACTCTTAGTCTCACACAGGGTGTTTTCAGCTACTCTCTGGCAGCCAGGAGAGAGAAATACCCGAGGGAAAAATAATCCCAGTAGAGCATGAAATATAGAAAGGGATAATTTAATTACCAATCGGGCATTTTGTTGGGAAGTGGAAGTCTAATCAGGTAAATTAAGGTATCTTAGGGAAACTGGGAGTGGGTCTTAGGAAAACAGCTAATGGGTCGGTCCAAGGGAAACTGGGAATGGGTCTTAGGAAAACTGGGAATGGGTCCAAGGGAAGCAGGGAATGGGTCTTAGGAAAACAGGGAATGGGTCCAAGGGAAACAGGGAATGGGTCTTAGGTAAACAGCAACTGGGTCAAGGGAAACAGGGAATGGGTCCAAGGGAAACGGGGAATGGGTCTTAGGAAAACTGGGAATGGATCTTAAGAAAACTGGGAATGCCTCCCCCAACAGGTCCCATGAGTGGGGCTGGGCCCAGTCTAACCACAGCCCAGCAGACGCAGGGTGCTGGGGAAGCTCTTCCTCATCCCCAGGCACTTCTCCTGGTCAATGAAGAGGGAGTTGGCTTTGATGGCCAGGTCATGCTCCAGGACTAACTTGATGTCAGCCAGCACTTGCAGCCTGTCCTGGGTGTCTCTCAGCTGCTTCTGAAGGGCCTGGATTGTCTTGTCAAGTTCATGGACCTCACTGACAAGGCTGCACAAGAGCAAGAACCGCTGTTAATAGCCCCCTCAGGGCTGGTTTCCAGCAGATGCTGCTGACGGGCTGTTTGGGCTCAGGGTTTCCCGTCTGTGTGCTCAGACTAATTGGACCCCCTCTTCCTGGCAGGGGGGTGGGCAAGTCAAGGGCAGACCCCTCTGACCCTTGGGGAGGCCGGAGAGGCCCAGGCTCCTTTTGCTCTCAGGCTCTGGCCGTGCCAGCCATGTCTCCTGGAGCAGCTCATGCCACCAAGAAGGATGAGCAGCTGTGGTTTCCCGTTCCCCTTTGGTTTGGTGGCTTTCTTTGTTCCCCCTCCTGGACTTCCTGCTGCAGGGGCACTCCCCACACCCATGGATGCACACACAGCAAGACGGGAGAGCTGGGAGAGGCTGGAAATGAATGTGAAACAAGCAGAGGCTGGAAGAAAGGATGGTGTGTGAGATGCTGAAGGGGCTGTGGGCTGGGTTTGCTGTCCAAAGGCTTCCCTTAGAGCTGTAGCCTCTGGTCAGGAGTAGGGGTGAGGTTCCGAGTGCTATGAGGTGCTCAGGGCAGCCTGCTCCTCCACAGTCCTTGGGGTGCAATCCCAAAAAGCTCCCTATGTCCTTGCAAGGGTCTACCTGCATTGTCTCCAGGGGAGGAAAGCCCTTGCTGCTTCTCCTTTCTTGCAGCTTCCCAAAGGGAAGGAGCAGAGTGCTCTCAAACCAGCCCATCAGAGGAAGCAGGCAGGAGAAAAGATGAGGTTTACCCAAGTGGGAAAAATCTGGCCCCTGGGAAGTGCCATCGGGCTGTACCCAGCCATGGTGCAGAGCTCTCCCAGCACCCAAAGCTGGGGGCACCTGCTCAGGGCTTTTGGTTCTGTCAGCACATTTATGGAAGGAGTAGTTAGGGAAAAAAAATAAATAAATGTTTTTTGTCATCCAGGGATGCTCGTGAGCACCCTCAGCAGTGACTCCTCAAGGCTTCCCAGCCCCGTGCCCGTGCCTTACCGGAGCTGGGCAGTGTCCCGGCACAGCTCCACGTCGGGTCTCCGGGTGCGCTGCTTCAGCCGGGTCTGCGCCACCTTCAGGGCAGGCTCTTGGTCTCGGATGGTTTTGCGGATGTCCTCTATGCTCGTCTCAATCTGGAAGATTTCCCTCAGTGTCTGGGGTGAGAAGGAAACGTGTACATTAAAACATATATTCTCAAGTGATCACAGTGTTCCCCTTGACTCCTGTCTGCAGAAAAAAGTTCCACAGGCTCAGGCCACCATCACTCATGGAGGCACAGATCCTGCAGCGATTTCTCCTCGGGGAAAAGCCCCTCTTTGCTGTTGCTGTCACATCAGAGGAGGCTTTGGAACAGTGATGGATCTACTGAATCATCAGCTTCCCAAAATCACTGCTTGCAGGTACTGATCATCCATCAAAGGCAGCTACTGGGGGGGAAGGTTTTGAATGGGTCCTTGTTTGAGGACGTGGCCCCAGCCTGCAGAGCTGCCAGCCCAGCTTCCACTCAGGTCATCAATCCAGTGTCCAGCACTTTGCATCTTGGCAGCTTTCCCTGAGACCACTAGTCCCAGAGAGGTGCCCAGCACTGGTCTCGACTTCCTCTGCTTAGCAAAGACGTGGGTTCCCCTGCAGCCAACACAGACCACTGGCCCTTGTCATCCTGGGAGAAGAAGTGAGCCTGCCAGCCCCCCAGCAGGCACCAAACCCCAGCAGAGACTTCCTGCAGGGCAGCCAGGTTCTGGAGGACCTACCAGGAGATGCAACCTGCACTGGCACCTCCTGTGAAGATCTCCTGTGCTGGGATGCACCAGCAAAACACAGTTTGCCTGGAGATGGAGCTACAGTGCCAGCTCATCCCTCCAACAAGAAAGTCCCCAGTTCTCTGAGTTTCAAGCAGAAAATGACACTATAACCAGCTTCTTGTGGCAACTGTCCCTCTGCTGGGGCCAGGAGGGTGTTGTCACCAGGAAGTGACGGTGTCACACCCAACAGAAGGGGTCGGGGCTACCTTGGCCAGGTGGGCCTGGATCTTGCTCTTGGCATCTGCTGTCTCTGCCACGCGGTTGGTGAAGGCAACGTTGGCCTCGTGGAACTGGCGCCGCATCTCGTTGCTCGTCACCTCCAGCAGGGTCTGGATGTTGTCCCGCAGCTCTGCGGAGGCTGCCCGCTCCCGCTGGGACAGCAGGATGTTGGCATCTGTGAACTTGGCCCATGACTCTGGCACTGAGATCCTGCAGGGGGAAGGAGAGGCCCCAGTCAGGCCATGCTGCTGGAGCTGGAGCTGGGCAGGGATGGACCCTGCCAGGGAGCAGCATAAGTGAAATGTAGATTAAACCTATGACCCTAATTTGGCCATGGGAAAGTGAAACATCTGGACACAATTTGCTCAGTAGCACTTATCAACCCAGGACGTGTCCATGAAGACAACTGTGATTCTTGTGAAAGCTCAGACAAACAACAGGTTTCCCTAAAAAAGGAAGGTTTTCATCAAAGCCCAAATGTCCCCGTTGGAGGCAGCTCAGTGCCAGGTGATTCCCAGCATCCCAACAACCCACAGGTCGTGGTCAGTGCCTTTTGCTCACACCCAGTTTTCCACCCAACTGAAGGGACAGGAGATAAGCTCCATCCCCTGTCTGTTCACTCAGGGGGAAGTTCACACCTGTGCACTCGTCCAGAACAAGGGCAACAAAAGGCTGAGTTGCCACATGAGCTCCATTCAAAACACTGATCCTTGATGTTTTGCTCCCCTCTGAATTTCAGTGTCAATCCTTTGCAATTCATTGACCTGTCTCAATGTGTCTGAGCTCTACTAGGAATAATTATTCCACCAGTAGAAAAGCTGAATCAGTCTGTGCCCCCCTCTGACCCACAGGCATCTGTGCCATCAGCAGATTTATTCCCTCAGCCCTTTGCCCCTGGGGGTGTATCTCTGCAAGTTCTGATTTAGGCCATTCCCTGCAGAGCCAAAACCAACATCCTGGTGCCATCAGCAGCTGATCTCAGCCCCAGGACCACACTTCCTCTTTCTTTATCTTCTGTGTCATTTTGGCTCCCGACCAGGCCCTCTCCACTCCAGAGGGAACCCCCAGACAATGTCAATGAAGAGGACCCTTGCAAGCACTGAAACAGCTTAGAAGAGAGGCATGAACCCAATGAGCTGAGCAGAGATGCTGCATGGAACCCGCCTCCGGGCTGATCTCTTGGCTCTGATAGAAGGTGTGATGAGGTGGGGTCACTTTCCCCCTTTGGATGTTGGGCACCCAGCTGGAAGCAGAGGGTTGTGCTCCCCTGGGGGTAACTGCAGAGCAATGGCCCCTCCGAGGTGGGTGTCTCCAGGGGGGGATGGACATGCCATGCAGGGACACGTGCCTTTAGAGTGGCTGGGGACAGCAGCTCCTGGTAGGGAGAGGCCCTGCACCCCGGGGACAGCTCGACCTGCACTCACGTGTCATCGACCTTCTCCACCCCTTGGTGGTAGTTGATGCCCTCGGAGGTGTTCCTCAGCTGGTGGCACCTCTGGTCGATGCTGTGGGCTGTCTGCTTGTTGGCCAGGTCCCTCTCCACCTCGTGCTGGGCCGCCCTGTTGGACCTTCAACACACCAAGAGCAGTGTCCCTGGGGCTGCCGGGGGGATCGGCTTCCTCCCCATCCCGCTGCCCACAGCTCCAGCCATCCCTGCCCCTGCCCAGGGATCCTGCAGGGCTTTGCAGCTGCAGGGAGTGGTACAGGGAGGTCTGCTGGGGCTTCCCATCACCACTGCAGGTGCCCACCAGCCCGGGGTGGGAGATGAGCAGCTGCTCCTTACTTGAGCTGCCCTTTCGCCTTCTGCAGGATCTGCCGCATCCTCTCCTGGCAGGACCTGATGACCTTGATTTCCTGGGCAAAGCAAAGCACGACCCCTACGTGTCCATACCTGATCCTCCCGGTCTCCCTCGTCCCCTCAGCCCCTCCAAGCCTGCACACAGCAAGAACCTGCCTGCTTGTCCCTCTGCCCCGGGCAGCGAGGGCCGTGTCCCCAGCCACCCATGGCCTGAGCTCAGCCAGGGGACAGGAGGGGCTGCAGCCCCAGCCCGGCCTCTGCCTCCTTCTGGTGTGACAAATGCTCCTTCAGCCTGACACCAGCACCACGGCTGGTTGGTCCCACTGCCGGGGCAGGGACAGATCCTGACCTGGTATCAACGGGCCTGGGGGTTCCCTGCCCAGCAGCATCTGGCACCCCCAGCCCCAAACCTGCCCTCTTTGCTGCCAACACAGAGACCCTGTTCCCTCGGGGCTGGGAAAGGCAGGACAGCCCCAAAAACTGCCTGAGAGAGGGACACAGGGTCCTGCTGTGTCACACACGCCAGTGAGGGAGCAAGGCTGCAAAACCTAATGAGGCCAGTTGAGGCAAAAATAACTCAAAAGGCGTGGTCTGAGGTGCCCAACTCACTGCCAGGAGCTGCTCCTCCACTTCGTCGTGCACCAGGTCGGTGCCCAGCCTCTTCTCCCGGTGCAGCAGGCACTCCTGAGCGACCTGTTGGGGACATGGCATCACTGCTGGCTGCAGGACCTACCTCCCAAGTCATGTAGGAGAAGAAAGGGTAGGTGGGCACAGAAATGGCAGCAGGGGAAGGAGCACCAGGGCAGCTGGTTTGGCTGACAAGGAACAAGGAGCAGCTCAGCTGCCACATCAGCTTTAAATCAATGTGAGGCAGCGTGTCCCTGGTGCCACCAAGCTGGACTTGGGGACCTGTGCCACCCTTGGTGCTCTCCTCACTGAAGCCTCATGGTAAGACATGGGCTTATGTCTCCCAAACCAAGATTGTGGACATTTATAAAAATATCTGGTTAAGCAAACACAGCTCTGGTGAGCTCAGCATGTGCTGATGCAGCAGATGGGCAGGGAGCTGCTGTTACTAACTGAGCTAGTGACCCCTTCACAAAACCTCTTGAGGCCTCAGGGAGCTGCACGGACACTGGGAGAGGCCTTTGGAGGCTTCAGGTGGTTCAGCACAGGCCACAGTCTGACACGGGGCTGACCTGGAGAGGGGCCTCAGTCTCGGCCAGGGCTCGTTCCAGCCCTTTCTTCATGTCCATGAGTGCATTGGTCTCCCCAACCATCTTCTCCAGCTCACAGCACAGCTCTGATCTCCAAAATCCAATATCCTGGACGCGTTCGCCCAGGTTTTTGGTGCTCTCCTGTTGGTTTTTATCTGTCTGGTGGCATTTCTCCTGGATCAGGCGGGTGGTGTCAGCTCTCAGGTGCTCTGCGTCACGCCGGGAGGTCTCAGACCCCTTGTAGCTGCTGCGGTTGGACTTGCACCAGTCGTCAGGGGTGTACCTGGTGCAGAGGGCTGTTTGGGTGGAAATAGAAGGAAGCTTCGTGCTGGAGGTTAGGTCCTGGGAGTCACTGGAGAAGGGAGCCAAGGTTGGGTTGATGGCAGCAGTTTTATAGTAGCTGCTGGGCATCCAGGGAAGGCTGGAGCAGTGAGCCAAGGGGTAGTAAGGGAAACGGTTCTTGTAGCTGGAAGTCATGGTGTGGATGACAGGCAGAAACTTGTTTGGTGTTGATTTTGGATGGGCAAATGTTGCCATTAAGGGGGAGCCAACCAGCCCTGTTCTTGAACCCTCCATTTCAGTATGTGTCCTGCACCAAGGAGACAGAAGAAGACAACAGCTCAGTCAGCTGCTGCACTTGTGTCACTTCTTACAGCAACACATGCAGCTGATCATGCCAACTGTGATTCACACAGCACCCACATGTCCCCTGCACAGGCCAGCAACTCCCTCCTGGCAGCATCCCAAGCATCTGTGCAGAACAGGATTTGCCTTGGTTGTTAGTGTCCAGCACTGGGTCTTGAAATGTGGAGTAAAACAACTCATGGCTGCTTGGGAGAGCGACAGGTCTCCTGCCTTCGTTTTCCCCAAGTCTGCCAAGCTGCTCTTGCTGATTCTCTGCTGTTTATTTGTCCCTTTTGCCCAGCCCACCTGCTGATCTCCAGGTGCCATTTGCTCCTTAAAAGTTCCACTGTTAGCCCCAATAGCTGGGGACACACGGCTGTGACCACAGCAGCACCAGCTCTGGGCGAGGGGCTCAATCCTCAGCAGCTCCACTTGCACGAAGTGCCTGAGTGAGGAGGCTGCAGGTGGGCTGAGGTCTGCAAGACTATATGCAAATTTGAAATCCCTGCCCACCTATTTCAGCCCAAAAAGAGCAGTCATCTCCTGGCTTGCAAAGGAAGAGAAATGTCCATGACTCACCTGATGCAAAATGAATGGACTTGGAAAAGAGATGTCCCACAGTGTCTCTTCAGAGTAACTCATGAACACTAGCCTGGCAGTAGCCCTGGGAGGAACAGCCACACAGGAGATGTTAGCAATAGCTGCAGACACACTGTGGCTGTTCTTGCTTTTGTCAGGTGGAGGTTACCAGCCAGTTGCTGTCAGGAGTACAAGGCAGAAGGCCCCAGACGTACCAAATACACCCGACCTGAGGACAAACTCTCTGAGTGTGTGTGGTGCTGGGCATGAAGCTCCTGTAAGGTCACCAGTTTCACCCACTGGCAGGAGTAAGTCTCTGTGGCTGTTGCAGTCAGCTGCTGTGTTGCAGGGATGAGTCCTTCCCCAGGCACCCACCTGTCCTCACTGCTCCCAGCCTGGCTCAGAGCCTGAGGAGCAGGTGAGGACACCAGTGTGCTACAAGATCCCTGGGTGGGAGGGGGGTTTGACATGAAGCGTGTGCTAAATCCCATTTGTTACAGCACAAAATCCACTGTATTCCTTAAAAAAAATTGATGTTGGGATGGAACAAGCTGATGCTCCTTCTAGAATGAAGCATGCCCATGCCTCCTGGCCCTCCATGCCTTTGGGAACCTGCTCCAGTACCAGATGCTCCAAGCCATGGACTCTCTTGGAGCTGTGGCCAGTGACACCAGGGGATGAGCAGACAGCACAAAGGTGCTTTAGCCAGGGGAAACAGGAAAACAGGGATGAGTCTGAGGGGAAAAGTACTTCCATGGAACTTGGAGGACTATCCCTTTCAAGCCTTGCCCAATCTTGGCCCTACTGGCAGGGGCTGCCCCAGCCTCTGGCTGGAGATCAGCACAGCTCTGAGCACTGACCTAAGCTCCCTTCGTCCCCCTCAGGATGAGCTGTGCCAGGGGTACTCTGTCTGCCACCCTGGGACACTGGGTGGAAGCCCCTGGCGACCTGATTTGGGCATAGTTGGGTGATCATTTTGTCAGTTCTGGAGTCCTAAATGTAAGGAGGACACAGAATTCCTTGAGTGTGTCCAGAGGAGGCCACGAAGATGATCAGAGGGCTGGAGCACCTCCCTATGAAGACCGGCTGAGGAAGCTGGGGTTGTTCAGCCTAGAGAACAGGAGGCTCCATGGTGACCTTATAGCAACTTTCCAATAGCTGAAGGGGCCTACAGAAAAGCCGGGGTAGGGTTTTTTACATGGGTATGTAGTGAGAGGACAAGGGGCAGTGGTTTGAAAGTTAAAGAGGGGAGATTTAGGTTCGACATTAGGAAAAAGTTCTTTCCTGTGAGGGTGGTGAGACCCTGGCCCAGGCTGCCCAGAGAAGCTGTGGCTGCCCCGTCCCTGGCAGTGTTGAAGGGCAGGTTGGATGGGGCTTGGAGCAGCCTGGGCTGGTGGGAGGTGTCCCTGCCCATGGCAGGGGGTTGGATCTAGATGATCTTTAAGGTCCCTTCCCACCCAAACCTTTCTATGGTTCTATGATCTAAGAGGCATTGGGGGCACCCGAGAAATACCTGCATTCCAGCCCTCCCCTCCCAGCTGCAGCACAGGCCCAGGCTGGGGGTGCCTCAGGGCTGCACTGCCTGCTGTGCTGTTGGGCTTGGAGGCAGCACTGCTGGAACCAGGGACACCAGTGACAGGGACCAGGGGAGCGTTGCCATGGGCACGGAGTTCTCAGGGTTCTGGGCAACTCCCTGCAACCACTATGGCAACAGAACACAGCCCTTGGGTTCAGAACACCCAGAGGGCGGGCAACCAGGTGACACCCTTGGGCAAGAAAATCCCCTCATGGCTGCTTAGGTCCTGCCCTGGACAACCTGCTGCCCATGCTGGGCAACCTGGGCATGGCAGGGCCACCCCCGGGAGCCAAGTGCCCCCCATGGGCAAACCAGTGCTCCTGGTGGGCAAACCAGTGCCCTCACTGGGCAACCCAGGGCCAGCACAGGTGCTCCTGGGCCAGCACTGGCCAAGCAGAGGCCTCCCCAGGACAGGCAGGTGCACCAGGGTGAGGAGATGGACAGTGTCCCCAGGAGCCCCATCAGGTCACAGCCTCAGGCAGCACCAGCATCATGCACCAGCCACCCAGTGACACCAGGAACATCTCCTGGGAGGAAAGCCTTTCCCAGAGGTTTCAGGTGTAGCCTGGAAGGCACTGGGACAAGAGCATCCTGGAGTGGCTGGTGGGGCTGCTCTGGCTGCCAGCACAGCTCAGGCCCAGCTGTTACCACCTGGGAATCCAGAGGAGGATGCTGAGGTTTTCACTGCCCAGTTGTGTTCACTGGCAAAACAGACAGACTCAGATTTGGGAGAAAAAGAAAGGAATCCATTTAATTTCTCAGAACACTAAAAAGGACAAGACCCAGTATCATAGACCTTCCGCCCAGCCTGCCCTTCTTCCGGGGCTTTACCTGCTTTCCTCCCGTTTCTCTGCCTCCTCCCCCTCAGTGACAGGGGGACGGGGAGTGGGGTTTGTGATCAGTTCCTCACATGGATTCTGCTGATCCTTCCTCCTCAGAGGGATGACTTCTCACAGCCTTTCCCCTCTCCACCGTGGGGTCCCTCCCATGGGAGGGTGTTGTGGGAAACCCACAGTCCTGTCTTGCAACAAGTGCCCATCACAAACCTCTCCACTATGAGTCCTTCCCGTGAGGTTGCAGTCCCTCTGGAGCAGATTGCTCCAGCATGGGCTCTCCACAGAGCCATGGGCTGCTCTGGTCCTGTTGCCATGGTCCTCCACGGCTGCAGCTCCACATCTGCCCCACCATGGTCCTCCACAGGCTCTAGATCCACATCCTGCAGGATTTCCCCATGAGCCCCAGATTCATATAGCCCCAAAAGAAGTCAAGATAGAGGAGAAGTTTGACATAGTAGATGAGGATTGGGTTAGGGATCAGTTGAGTAATCTGGACATCCATAAATGATGGGTCTGGGATGGAATGCACCCAAGGGTGCTGAGGGAGCTGGCGGAGGTCATTGCTAGGCCACTCTCCATCATCTTCAGTAAGTCATGGGTAACAGGAGAGGTGCCTGAGGACTGGAGGATAGCAAATGTCACTCCAGTCTACAAGAAGGGCAAGAAGGAGGACCCGGGTAACTATAGACCGGTCAGCCTCACCTCCATCCCTGGAAAGGTGATGGAACAACTTGTTCTTGTCACTATCTCCAGGCACATCAAGGACATGGGGGTCATCAAGAGCAGTCAACATGGTTTTATCAAGGGTAAATCATGTTTGACTAACCTCATAGCCTTCTATGAGGAAATTACTAGGTGGATAGATGATGGTAGAGCGGTAGATGTGGTTTATCTTGATTTCAGTAAAGCATTTGACACCGTCTCCCACAGCATCCTTGTAGATAAGTTGATCAGGTATGGGTTTGGTGATCAGGTAGTGAGGTGGATTAGGAACTGGTTGAAAGGAAGGAGTCAGAGAGTTGTAGTCAATGGGGCAGAATCTGGTTGGAGGTGTGTGACTAGTGGAGTCCCACAGGGGTCGGTACTGGGACCGGTGTTGTTCAACATCTTCATCAACGACCTGGATGAGGGTATAGAATGTACCCTCAGCAAGTTTGCTGATGACACTAAGCTGGGAGGAGTGGCTGACACACCAGAAGGCTGTGCTGCCATTCAGAGAGACTTAGATAGGTTGGAGAGTTGGGCGGGGAGAAACATGATGAAATTCAACAAGGGGAAGTGCAGAGTTTTACATTTGGGGAAGAACAACACCATGTCCCAGTACAGGTTGGGGGCTGAACTGCTGGAGAGTAGTGTAGGTGAAAGAGACCTGGGGGTCCTGGTAGACAGGAGGATGACCATGAGCCAGCAATGTGCCCTTGTGGCCAAGAAGGCCAATGGCATCCTGGGGTGCATTAGAAAGGGTGTGGTTAGTAGGTCAAGGGAGGTTCTCCTCCCCCTCTATTCTGCATTGGTGAGGCCGCATCTGGAGTATTGTGTCCAGTTCTGGGCCCCTCAGTTCAGGAAGGACAGGGAACTGCTTGAGAGAGTCCAGGGCAGAGCTACAAAGATGATTAAGGGAGTGGAACATCTGCCTTATGAGGAAAGGCTGAGGGAGCTGGGTCTCTTTAGCTTGGAGAAAAGGAGACTGAGGGGTGACCTCATCCATGTTTACAATATGTAAGGGGTGAGTGTCAGGGGGACGGAGTTAGGCTTTTCTCAGTGATGACCAGTGATAGGACAAGGGGTAATGGGTGTAAATTGGAGCATAGGAGGTTCAAGGTGAATATCCGAAAAAAATTTTTTACTGTAAGAGTGACAGAGCACTGGGACAGACTGCCCAGGGAGGTTGTGGAGTCTCCCTCACTGGAGACATTCAAAACCCACCTGGATGTGTTCCTGTGTGATGTACTCTAGGTGACCCTGCTCTGGCAGGGGGGTTGGACTAGATGATCTTTCAAGGTCCCTTCCAACCCCTAAGATTCTATGATTCTATGATCTGCCCCACTGTGGTTCCCCACAGCTGCAGGTAAACCTCTGCTCCACCATAGTCCTTCACAGGCTGCTCCACCATGTTCTGCCATGGGCTGCAGGGGCACAGTTGCCATCCCATCATGGGCTGCAGTGAACCTCTGCTTGGACACATCCTCCCCCTTCTGCCTCACCACCCTTGATATCTCTGCTCCAGCGCTGCTTGTGCCTCCCCCTCCAATGTCAAAGCTGCACATTCCACCATGGAAATAGGTGGGACCAGAAGCTTCCTTGGTTTGTTGCTGAGCACCAAGACAAACAAGCTCCAAAACCTGCACAAATGGCACCTTTGCCTTTTCCCCTCCACCCTTCTGCTGCAGCCTGACACTGCTCAATGTGCCCTACCACTTGCTCTTCATCCTTCCAAAAATTTTGAGCTTGTTCCTTACCAGCCTGGGAAGGGGCACATTTCTATTTTTGCATCCATGACAATCTGGGATGTGAAGCTGCAGGTGCACAAGTTCTTCTGGATCGCTGGGGATAAACTCCCTGTCTGCAGAGCACGTGTGGATATGGTGGACACAGACTGGCTACACACACAGAGAGTTATAAAGCCACTTCCAGGTTTCCACATTTCCCAGGGCAGCCCAGTGTTGGAATCCTACCCAAAGGTGTCCCTGTGTGGGTGGAGAGGCTCAGCCCATCGACTGGTCCTGGAGGCCCAGGATAATCCATCAGGATCTGGAATCTTCCCTACGATGGTCCCTGCAATGGTGTCTTCCCTGACATCCTTCCTCTCTTAACCCATTTTATACTGGTTTTTACCTTTCAGGTGGAGCTTGAGGGACTTGAGTCATTCACACCTTTGTTTTGGTTGGTGCAAAATTCTCTTGCTTTGCATGTAAAGGAAGAGGCCAGAGGAAAGTCAGAGCAGGAGCTCAGTGAGGGGTGGTTGCACCCCTGGAGGGGGGTAGCATTTGGGGTGGAGGTGTGTTTTGGGATTCTAATGAGATTCTAATGAGCCAAGCTGACCTGAAGGACAGCATTCCATCAGAAAGTGACAGCCTGTTAGCCCAGGGTATCAAATATGCAGCTTGTCACTCCCACAGTATATTGTGTAGCTCCAGATCCCATTGCTAGCCCAGGGCATGGTTGTGGTGTCTCCACTCCACTCTCTGTGCCGTCTCTCAGCACACTAGGCTCCCTTGGTGTGGCCAACATCTGGGCTTCCTTGGGGAACTGCCATGGCACAGACACTTTGCACATCAGCTGAAAGTTTCTTCAGTGCTCTCCTTAAAATGGAAGTATCAGATTCATTTCCAAGTCACCTCCAGGAATTATTGCACATAACCCATGCCCTTGCTCTAGTCACTCAACCTTCACTCTCTTTAGGAGGAATGGGGAATGTCAACCAGATCACATCCCCCATTCCTCCTAAACAGGGTGCAAGTCATGCCCGCCTGCAGCTTATTTTATCTTTGGAAGCTTGTTTTATCTTATCTCCTATGAAGTCAGGCTGGGAGAGTTGGAGTGTTCAGCCTGGAGAAGAGAAGGCTCCAGGGAGACCTTAGAGCACCTTCCAGTGCCTGAAGGGGCTCCAGGAAAGCTGGGGAGGGACTTGGGACAAGGACAGGGAGGGATGAGATGGGGGGTGATGGATTTAAACTGGAAGAGGGGAGATTTAGGAGGAAATTCTCCACTGTGAGGGTGGTGAGACACTGGCCCAGGTTGCCAGGGAAGCTGTGGCTGCCCCATGCTTGGAAAGGAAATTTTAGAACACAACATGTCCCCTATGGAAAAAAAAATATTAAAAATAATAAAAAAATTGCATTGGCAAATGGTTTGGGGGCTGAGAGCCCCAAAATCACCTTTTTTCCTCTTGTTGTGGGAGAGATGGAGGGCTCCATGTGATGGACATGGCCCAAAGGATCAGCAGGGAAGGGCTGCAGCTGACCTGGGGGAGCTCAGCCCCATGGCAGGAGCACCCAGACCAACAGAGAAGTCAGAAGAGGTTTTTCCTCCCAGAGCAAGAGGGTGCAGCTCCACACCAGAGGCCACCACATTGCTGGGACACTTTCAGAGGCTCCCTATCCTCCTGGAAGGTGCTTTGGCTGCAGCATCAGGAGCACATGCCCCACAGAGACCATCTGTTGGCAGGAGGACATGGACTTGCCAGCTCTGGTGTGCCCATTTCAGGATTGCAATCTCTGTAATGCAACCAGGAGAACTTCCAGGTCCAGGAGTATGGTCCAACATCACCATGCTGCCGGGAAGATGCAAAGTCCAGGCAGCCTGGGGTGCTGGGGAAGTCCTGGGGCTGGCAGGAGAGCACAGCAGAGGGAGCAGCCACAGGGTTGGAGAGCATCCTCTCCTTCTGCCAGGTCCTGGCCACTTCAGGGAGATGTACCAGCAAGGAGTGGGCATTACCTGCCCCTTCTCCCCTTGCCTGCTTTGCCTGGACAACCTCTTCCATCCCTCCCTGGGGCCTTGGGGTCAATCCATCTCCTTGGAGAGGGCTTCATTCCAGGGGTGCTGAAGCTGCTGCCCCACCATGGGCGGGTTTCAGAGGGCGGATCCAGCTCTGCAGCTTTGAAGAGATAGAAGAGCTGGTGCTTTCCAGCAGGTCAAGGCCAGCTTGGATGGGGCTCAGAGCTCCCTGGTCTAGTGCAAAGTGTCCCCACCCACGGCAGGGACAGGGGCTGGATGATCCTCGAAGTTCCCTCCTGCCCAGACTCTCCTGTGAGCTGAAGTCCCTGGAGCACCGGGGTGGGGGTTCAGGTCCCACGAGCCCCCCCAGGGCACAGGGATTGCAGGTGCCCAGGAGAACCAGCCCCGCCCCCCAGGTGCACGGCGGGTTCATCCCACGCCCCCTCTTCCCGCCAGCAGCGCCCGCAGCGCGCCCCGGCACCGCGGCGGGCAAAGTGCGGGAGGGTGCGGGGAAGCGAGGGAGCAGCAGCCATGGAGCGGTACGTCCCTGCGGGATGGCGCGGTGGCAGCAGGAGCTGGGGGTGCAGGCAGGGACTGGGGGACAGCAGGAGCTGAG